ATAAATCATTCCACCCTTTGTCTTTATGACATGTTAAACAAAGTACAATCCCTAATATGTGAATAACACGTTGTATAAGTGTGTTTTCAAACTACATGTAAATGAGTGTAAAATAAGTATAAATTGACATAAAAGCATCAAAATAATCATTCCTATATCATTCCACCCTTGCCTTTTATGGCAATTTAGACATTTAATTCTCAAAAGTAACACACACAAAATATATGTTTGAATAGGCATAAAGGCAACTTAATATATTTTTATAAAACATATTTTTATATCATTCCACCCTTTTGCCTTTATGGCATGAAAAACATAATTCCACAATACAACTTTTTAGTTTTGAAAATGCCATCCCTTTAAGTTGAACTCTAAACGATCTCCGACCTCTGAATGGTCGAGTTCTCCTGAAATTGAAATTGTTCTGGGACTTTATCCTAAATAAACTCACTCACACAGTTAAGAAAATCCAGACGAGTTTCAAACCCCTGGAACGTTTGATTTATTACGTTCCCACTGACACGATCATTGTAAATCAAAACACCTGGTAGGTGTTCAGATTATAGTTTTTTTCCTACCAAACCATGTACCAAGCTGTATTATAAATTTCCTGATTAATTCTTTTTTTTTTAAACCCTACTAATATAAAAACAAGTTCCCAAAATACACAAAGTTAATACAGAGATACATAGATCAAACTAGTTATTCTTCTTTTCACTAAACAAACAAAAAAGATACTGCATATATTTTGCGCCGTAGATAATATTCCTGCGAATATATCCCACCAATGGTGAGCCGACGCCTACACTATTAGTTTTAGCCACATGTAAAAACCTTTCTTTGAGCCATGCAGGTGGACACTGTTAGATCAGACACGTTTAGACTTATGAGATTCAATCATTCGTTTCAGCTCTGTAGACCCATTTCAATGCGCATTTTGAAATGGTCTAGGGAGACTCGCCAGGGTACGTGCGAGTGGTGGAACTATAATTAGTTAATTGATAAGTCTGGTTGTTCCAAGTCCACAGATGTACACCACACACACATCCAGAGAAAGGCACCTTAGGTACTTTTTATTGTTGCTCTAACCTAGTTCATGAGTCTAATCACACAATACCTTGTCTCTGGTTAAACATGGGTTAACATGATTAGTTTCAACATACATATCACTCTATCAGCTGTCTCACATAGTTGCATGTTATATGTGAGATTTGTCTGTGGCTCAAACCACTCACCCTGTACTTTTTTTTTTTTTTTTTTAAACCAGTGTCCTTGTACAGTTATTAAAGGCAAAATGTGATATTTGCATAACTGTGGTTGCCTTCATTACATTTTGTCAATTCAGGTTTTACAACTACCCAGTAGGAACTGGAAATGTTCCATACTCTCCTCCACTCATGATGATTCGATGTAGTAACCACCCTCTGGCAGCGCTCCTCCTGCAGCTGTGCATGGAAAAATTGCAAGGTACACAGGAAAACAAGTTCAAAGCTTCAATTATGTTGGAGAGCACTTCTTCTGTGCTCCCCCACATCTTCGGCTGCAAGTTTATTTCTTTTATCAGTATTTTGACCGTTTCTTCTTGGGTCATGACAACTGATGGTATCCAGACTCCAACTTGGGTAACTGCCAACGAAGCACGTCTCCTCCTTCTCCTTTATTGGCAGTAAAAATCAAACTTCGTTCTCCCTTTTTTTTTTTCTCTCTTTCATCTGGTTTAGCATGTACCGTTCTTATACAATGTTACACAGTGGGGTTTCCACACAATTCTAATCTGACATCCTTTAGGTACCACTGGGATGGTTTTCCTGTGGTAGCATGCCCGACACTTGACATAGGACAGTCAGTTGTGCCTATCAGGCAGCTTTTTTGTACATGTGAAGTTACTTTGCACTCTGATCTTGCTTGCATTTTTTTTTCTTTCAACCAAAGTGAACACCTGATCCTCCTCCAAGACACGTCCTGGTGTTGCTGATGAGGCGTTGTCCATCTGCAACAAGGCACGTGATGCCCAAACAGCCTGCACTCCCATCTGACTGGCACCTTGTCACCAGCTTCTCATGTTGTCCTCTGGGCGGTCCCATCCAGTCCGCAAAGATCAATGAAACATCAAGCTGTAGAGGCAAAAAGTACTGCTTACAGATAGAGGAAGAATCATTAGTTATCTCTTATATAACACTTGTTTACAGATACATTTACCCATTTTTTTCCTTCTCCTGCCTTTGGGATATTGCAGACCCAGACCAATTTTATAACTTGAATTTGACCTGAAATCACTGTCACTGGCTCTAGAGTCCTCAGATCTAGTCCAGCAGATTCAGGAGTTGCTCTGACAGGCAGCTCTGGAGTATCATTCAATTTAAAGGAGTGGTGCCTGGTACAATGGGTCTGTTATTCAATTGAAACACAGCCTGCAACAAATTTACTTTTCAGTTTGCCAAATCATGTTTTTCATTTTCTCAGCATTTCTTTTTTTTTTTAACAGTTCATTCATTCTCTTAATCAGCCCAGCAGCTTTGTGGGTGATAAGGAAATATGATAAATCCATTCAACATGTTTTTCAGCTGACCAGTCTTTCACCTGTTTTCCAGTAAAATGGGTCCCATTAT